TTCTGCCTCTTTGAGGCAACGAATTTCCCGCTCATTTAAGTAGACCTGGCAACGGCGAGAGTACGAAGTGTGAGCCTCATGACAATTAAGGCAAGAGGGAGTTCGACTGCAAGACGTATTAGAATGGTCACCGGCACCACAGATTGGGCATTCGGCTATAGATCTGCAATATTTTGCTGGGTGGCCAAATCGCCAGCAATTCCTACACTGTTGCGGTGTAGGGATCACCTTCCGAACTTGTAACCGATGTCCTGCTACATAAACAGAGGATGGGAGTTTACGGCTGTCAAAAGTTAAACGAGCCACATTGCATGGGTATCGTCTTCATCCGCGGGCAGGAAGAACATAAGTGTCTACCTTGAGAATTGGAAGATCTTGGAGTTCCAGCTGTTCAAGAATGTCGTTGCCACATGTCTGGAAATTCTGTTGGGCTATGGTATGGGGCAGAATAACAGTACCACTACAAGAATTGAGGGAATGATGTTCTTCGATAGTGATAAGAATAGTATCGATATGTGAAAGAAGAGAAAGATCATGAGCTTGGGTAGAATTCTGGACTGTGATGATGCATGTACCACTCTTAAGAGCATGAAAGGAAATATCTTTACCAACGTGGCATAGGAACGCTTTGCCAATATTATGGTCAGAAAGATAGGCAGTAGAAGAAGTCGGTCTTAAAGTAAAGAATTTAGTCCATTGTGTGGTCCAAAATTGAGTGTGGAGAGGGAGTGCATGACGTGTCGGTCTTTTCCGAGTAGAATGGGAAGGTAATGATGTAACATCATCAGGAGATTGTCGTTGGCGTTTAGAAGTGGGACCAGAGTGGGTCTGACATGGGATGGGCTGGCGATTCGAAAATTGGTGCACCATAGAGGGAGAGGCCGGAAGCATAGTCAAAGGAGAGCGGAGGTCAGACAAATCGAAGGAGTCAGTCGAAACCCCGGCACCTGCAGCGGGTGACGAAACAGCACCAGCAAGAGGTACAGGGGCCTTAGGAATGTCCGAAGAGTGGCCAAAAGACGAGGCGAGGTCAGAACGGGGTGCGGTAACAATAAGGGGCCCGGGGGTAGCGGGGTCATGGATCGGGTACTCCATGGTTAGGTTACTTCTTTCTTTTTGTTTTTAAAAAAAAAAAAGAAAGAAGAAAAGAAAATAAAAATAAAAAAAAGAATAAAAAAAGGGGTGACCGGGGAGGGATAGTTCCTAGGAGGAATGAAAAGGCCAGAAATCTCCCTCCGCGCCCAAGAAGACCTCAGCACCGCAAGTAGCGCAGATGCAGCATGGAACCTGTGCCATACCCTACCCTTCATGCCAGTAAACCAGCAATCCGGGATAGCAACCTCACATCTGCCGAGCTACCTCGGTGGACAAAAGAGAGGGCGGCCGGATATCCTCCACAAAGCATACCTCCTTCAGCCACCACCCCCGGAATCCGAAAGGTGGCTTCCAGAGATACACCCATTGCCCGAAAGACACCCAAAGCCACCCTCCGGGATACCGGAGAGGGATCGGGACATCCCCAGGCGATCCAGATTCCACGGCAAACTATCCACTGCCAAGAACCTCAACGGAATGGGATGGACCCCGGTACCCTTTCCCCTACCTAGGAACTAGCGCGCCTGTGGGAAAAATCCCAAAGGCCAAAAAAGGAAGGGCAAAAGGGAGGGGTGGGGAGGAGGAGGAGGAAAGCAAAAAGGGGAGGATGGGATAGGGAAGGGGGGATTGGGGGGTAATTAGGTTCAGTCTGAGGAAGGAGACTGACAGGTCTAATTCCTCAGACCAAGAGCCTCTTCACCACGCCAAGGAGCCCCCTTGAAGAGGCCCTAATTGTAATAATTTACCATGTGTTCAATGGGAATATTTCCAACGTAGTTTCTCTGTTTTTTCATTAATTTCACTAGAGTAAACTTAAATATTTTGGTGCAGTATTTAATGTCGATATTTAACATTATTTGACTGAGTCAGTGGCAGATTTTTTTTGTCAGTAATGAAGAACATTATCTTCACAGGGGAGGTGCTAGATCCGTGTGTCATACACAGGAGGGTTACGGGAGACATGATAATGACATACAAAATATTTCGAGGAATTGACAAGGTGGACAGAGACAGGATGTTCCAGAGATGGGACACAGAAACCAGGGGTCACAATTGGAAGTTGAAGACTCAGATGAGTCAGAGAGATGTTAGGGAGTACTTCTTTAGTCATAGAGTTGTCAGGAAGTGGAATAGTCTGGCAAGTGATGTAGTGGAGGCAGGAACCATACATGGTTTAAAGACAAGCTATGATAAAGCTCATGGAGCAGGGAGAGAGAGAACCTAGTAGTGACCAGTGAAGAGGCAGGGCCAGGAGCTATGTATCAACCCCTGCAACCACAAATAGGTGAGTACAGCCTGGGGAAAAGGGAAGTAATGATGTTTGATTAAAAAAAGGGGGATAAATTAAGTTTCTTGGATGAAGAGCCCTTTACTTATATCAAGGTACCTTCCTTGAAGGTACTGAAGAGAGCAGAAAAGTCTTCAATATATTGTGATAATGCAAATAAGAATAATACCTGGAGGTTGTTTCGGGGGCCAACTACCCCGCAGCCTGGACCACGACCAGGCTTCGTGGTGGATCAGGGCCTGATCAACTAGGCTGTTACTGCTGGCTGCATGCAAACAGAGGTAGAAGCCACAGCCCGGCTGGTCAAGTACTGACTTAGGTGTCTGTCCAGCTCCCTCTTGAAGACAGCCAGGGGTCTGTAGGTAATCTCCCTTATGTATGCTGGGAGGTAGTTGAACAGTCTTGGACCCCTGATGCTTACTGTGTAACAACGCACAAAATGTGTGATAAAGGAATAACAGGAAAAGTTGGCAGATGGATCTATAACAAATAGAATACAGAGTAATAGTAAACAGAGTAAAGTCTGAGGCAGCTACAGCAAAAAGCTCTGTTCCACATCCTCATATCTAACACAGACAGAGATGTAAGCTACAGCACCATGTCTTCCTTTGTAGATGACACCCAAATTCACATGACAGTGTCATCCATCGAAGACACTGCAAGACTCCAAGTGGACATCAACCAGATCTTTAATTGGGGTCACAGAAAACAATATGAAGTTCAATGAAGAGAAATTTCAATTACTCCAATATGGAAAACTTGAGGAAATTAAAACTGTATTGGAGTATAAAACAAATTTCAACCACACAATAAAGCGAAAAACTTATGGGAAAGACCTGGGAGCGATAATGTCAGAAGATCTCACTTTCAAAGATCACAACAATGTATCTACCACATCTGCTAGAAAAATGACAGGATAGATAATGAGAACCTTCAAAACTAGGGATGCCAAGCCCATGATGATTCTCTACAAACAGCTTGTTCTCTCTAGGCTTGAATACTGCTGTAAAATAATGCCGCCTTTCAAAGTGGGTGAAACTACTGACCTGGAGAATGTACAGAGATCCTTCATGGCATGCATAAATACGATGAAACATGTAAATTACTGGAAACTGTTGAACTCCCTCGATTTGTATTCCCTGGAATGCAAGAAAGATACATGGTAATATACACCTGAAAAATCCTATAGGGATTAGTACTAAATCTGCATACAAAAATCACTCCCTAAAAAAGCAAAAGACTGGGTAGGAGATGCAACATTCTCCCAATGAAAAGAAAGGGTGCCACGAGTATGGCAAGAGACAACACAATAAATGTCAGGGGCCCAAGACTTTTCAACTGCTTCCCAGCATACACAATGGGGATTACCAATAGACCCCTGGCTGTCTTCAAGAAGGCGCTGGACAGGCACCTAAAGTCAGTACCCGATAAGCCAGGATGTGGTTCATATGTTGGTTTGCATGCAGCCAGTAGTAACAGCCTGGTTGATCAGGTTCTGATTCACCACAAGGCCTGGTCACAGACCAGGCCGTGGGAGCGTTGACCCTTGAAACCCTCCCCAGGTATACTCCTGGTATACCTCCTCAACCCTTCCTCATTATCTGCTCTCTCTCAAGCCCACCTTTCTCCCAACAGTTGTTTATATCTTACCCTTACTATCTTGTTGAATTTTTAAACTTTCACTTCTCTCTTACCCATCGATGATATTCGTCTTACTCTCACTGTAGTTACAACTAAATAATGATCTGATATATATGTTGCCCCCTCTACAAACATGCACATCCAGTAGGATACCCATCAATCTTTTACCTATTATAACCTAGTCCAACGAACTGCCATCATCATGCCCTATATCATATCTCTTTTTCCTTAAAATATATAGTATCTATTATCAAAACTCCTTCTATACACAGATCAATCAGAAGCCCTCCATTATCATTTATCCCTGACACTCCAAAGTTATCTACTACTGTACTCCCTATACAAAAATTTCTCCCACTTTAGCATTTATGCCTCCACAACAATTTTCTCACTTGGTTCAAAACTCAAACATCTCCCAAAAATCTCTCTCTCCTATATATTCTTTCCCCAGGGGCATAAACTTACTATTACCCATATCTTATATCCCACTCTTACTTTAATCCATTTATCTTCCCTTTTTCTATAACTGATCATTCAATATTATTGCTACTTCTTCCTTAGCTCTGATTCTTTCAGATGCACCTGACCTAATCCTACTTATACCTCCTCACTAAAATTCTCCTGCCTTCATTAGTTTCATTTAGCTGAGAGAGAGAACATCCAGATTCTTTTTGTTCATATATGCAATCAATTCTTTCTTTACATCCATACTACACCCAAGCATATTCAAACCTAAACAAGATTTTTCCTTTATCCATTTAGCAGTTTATACAGGAGTTACCAGCCCCTTGCTCTTGGCATTCTTGTTGGCTTTTATGACACCATGCATAGATTATGGAGGAAGAATTCTCACCCACTTTCCCATGGAAAATACACATAGTAATGATTATATCTTCTGGAAAATATACACACCAGATTTTCCAAGGAACAGCTTTCAGTAGTTTTTATGCAACTTAAGTTTTGTATTGAGTAACAAAGTTTGTGGAACAAAATGAAATGTCAATGCATCCAAAATACAAAATATACTCAAGATCTTACACATGATTTTTCTCTTTCAACAGGAGAAAATGCCACCAATGGCGATTCCTTTTTATTCCTGCGGAAAGAGCTGCCAGTACGACTTGCCAACATAATGAAGGAGTTTCACTTGCTGCCTGAGAAACTCCTCCACATGCCCTCTGTGTGTGCCGTCAGGGACCTCTACCGTATGAGTTTCATGGACATCCTCCACTTCGAAGATGGCAGTTATACAAATCCTTCCATCCTTGAAAAGTAATTAATTTGAAGCCAGTGTTCTAAGTGTTTACTCATGTTTTTTCCTCAACACTTGTCCTTTTTTTTTTTGCTCTATTTATCCATGTTTTCATCACTCTTTATTAGATTGAAAAAATCCTTGTGGATGAAATGTATCCTAATAAAAAGTTTCCAAATGTTACATACCTAATTTATACACTTGTCAGTATTATATACCATATGTGATATGTATATGGGGAATGAGAAATTGGCCTTTTTTTTAGATTACAACAGTTCTAACATTTTTTTAAATTTAAGTTCTTGTGACCTTCCTCTTGAGATAATGAAAACGCAGCTGCTTTTCAGTAACTGCTGCCTTTTGTAACACAGCCACTTGTTCCTTAGGTTCACTGACACGTTATTAAAAATCAGAAATCGCCATAAGGACGTGGTAATGACAATGGCTCAGGGAGTGTTGGAGCTGAAGGATGCTCACTCCATCAACGCCAACACAGAGTCCAACATCCAGTATTTCCTTGACAGGTTCTACATGAACCGCATCTCCATCAGGATGCTCATCAACCAGCACAGTGAGTTGAGATGGAATGTTAAGCTTTACTCAGGAAATCTACAAATGATTTTCTTTGATAGATTTATTTTGCACCTCATACCCATCCTGTGGGCAGTAGTTAAGAGCATACAGAGTATACCTAGAGGGTGTTTCAGGGAGTCAATGCCCCCACAGCCCAGTCCATGACCAAGCCTTGCGGTGAATCGGGGCCTAATTAAAAAGGCCATTACTGCTGCTCACCCACAAACCATCTAAGAACCATAGCCTGGCTGGTCAGGAACTGACTTTAGGCTCCTGTCCAGCTCCCTCTTGAAGACAGCCAGGGGTCTATTGGTAATTCCTCTTATGCATGCTGGGAGGCATTGGGGGTATGTTGCACTGCCTGCTTTCATAGGGAGTGATTTTCGTGTGCAGATTTGGGACTAGTCCCTCTAGGATTTTCCAAGTGTATATTATGATGCATCTTTCTTGCCTGTGTTCCAAGTAATACATCACTGGTCCAGGACCTAGGCCTTGTCGATTTTACACAAAGTGTCAAGATTTCACTTGGGTTATTAACCCTGAAGGCAACTTTTCCACTTAAGTGCATAACAGAGAAGTAATGGAGTAGACCTACTGGCCCATACTAGGCATGTTCTTCTCAAACCCAACCCTTCTCACTCATATATTTGACAGTTATTTTATAGCTTTTACTGCTTAAATTTATAATACCACAATCCCTTTCCCACACACTTACACACTCATACCTTTAACTATTAGTTTAAAACCCAATATATTGCAGCAACAGCCCCATCCTATGGCATGCCTGTGCATGCATGTCATTTGATGCAGCAGGAATGATATGCATGCTATCAAATGACACGTATTTCATTCCTGTTGCAGAAGCGGTCCTAGTTATTAAATACAACTGCAAGGTCCTTATGCTATTTGTCCAGCCAACAATTAACACCAACTGTGCCAGGACTGAACCTGATTTCATAAGATATGAGCCACAGGAACTACCAATTAAGCCACAAGTTTTGAGGGCACACACACACACACACACACACACATGTAACCATACATAATGCACCATTTATGTGAATTTAACCAAGGATAATACAAAGTCAAACAATGTGGCTTTTTTTTTTGCATATGCAAATGCTAGTATTAAAATAATAGAATTAGATACTGTAAATATTTAAAATATGGTATATAATATACATATATGCAAATACTTAGTCACTAGCATAATAATGAGCCACCAAAATAGCCCTCATCAATACTTAATAGATTGTTAGGATCCAGTCTTTGAACCTATTATGTGCCTCTGTAATCTTTTGACTACGACTGACAGGATGAGTATTGTGTACATACTAAACCATCAGTGTGACTTAGTCTAGTGAATACATTTCACATAGGTGCATACCACTGCTTGCTTCCTGTCATCTCTCTTGTGAGGACACATTGCAGTATATGAGAAAGGTAGACAAAAGAAAAATTTATAATTCACATTCCCTAGATGCTGATGGACTTGATACTGATGAACTCTTGCTCCAAGGAAGTAGTTATCCTTTCCTTGGACTAAACCTGATTATCTCCAGTTCCCCAGCACTGTCTGCTGAAAGGGACCAACTAGTCTGGCTACTTCAGTTTCTGCTTCAAAGACCACAATAATGTATCCACCGCATCTGCTAGGAAAGTGATAGGATGGATAATGAGAACCGTCAAAACTAGGGATTCCAAGTCCATGATAATTCTCTTCAAATCGCTTGTTCTCTCTAGACTGAAATACTGCTGTACACTAACGGCCCCCTTCAAGGCTGGTGACACTGTTGACCTGGAGAGTGTCCTCCATAAAGACTCCACGGGGCACTTGATGAACTGGAATGAGGCACAACTCGTTCTCACCAAACCAGACCTCAGATGCCGACGGTGCCTAGAAGCCTCACTAATCGCCATCACCGACACTATAAAATGTAACAGTGGAAACCACAAAATTTCAAAAACATTAGCATACGTGATACTTAAGCACCACCAACCCAACAACACAGGAGTCACATGATTTCATCGTCTATCCATCCTCATCCCAACATGACATTCTTCAGGTCACCATGCGTCACTCACACCTCACTCTCCGCCTATATATATAATGTCTTTCTACCTCTGTATGTTAAAAGTGATCAAGGTCCCAGGACCAAAACATTTTCTAATAAATATGTCATAGTGTTTGCTTATGTGTCTTTCTAAGCCAACTTGTCGGTATTTATTACCAAGGTTTATACCATCTTGTCTGACACTGCAACACACTATGGACACAGCATACAGAGAATACCTTTCTCTCCTACTCAAAGCTAATAGTCTTCATAACTGACACAACTTCCTAGAAGATTGTCTTGCTGAGATGGTAGTACCACGGTCCACTCGACAACTGACCACATCTAGACACCCTTTCTCTCCTGCTGTTTACGCCTACCTTAGAGAAAGCTCCAATGAACTGCGACATGCTCAGAAGAAGGCCTCATTACGTGCCGCTCAGATTCGTGCTTCACTTCCTACTCCTGACAGAAGAACGGCAGAATATATACTCAGCCAAATTACCACTGCCAACATCCAACAGAAATTGAAGCTATCACGAAAACTACAAGACCTGTGCTCCCACAGCAAATGGAGCGAAATGGGACGACCAGAAATCATAAATAACTTATCTTCCTATACACTAACTGTCACCGAGACAGAAGCCCTCAGCCTAGGGCTCAAGTTTACTACTGGCATCAACAAGAAACATCTGGTGGATATGGTAACCAAGAACCAACCTTTTGGAGGCTCCGAGTTTCAAAAAGGCTTTGTTCAAGGAATTATCACTGCTGCAGCTACTGAGCCTTCAAGACTGGTCATTCCCAGAAGATACATTCAAGCACTCAGGGACTTGGCTAATAACGATGATATCGTCATTACAACCGCTGACAAAGGAGAAGGAGTGGTGTTACTCGACAGTGTCGACTACAACAATAAAGTCTTAAATCTTCTCAACGATGCCAACACATACCAGCCTGTATCAGAATCAGTGCTACTTCAAAGTACCCAGACTTATCTTAAAAAGGCTCGTAGCATCTTACGAAAATCAGAACAAGGCAAGAAACTACTTAAACTTTTACCAGGTCAACTGAAACCAGCACGTCTGTATGGCCTTCCTAAGACACACAAACCTGGCATCCCACTACCGCCTATCACTTCGGGCATAGGCAGTGCACCACACAGACTAGCCGGCCACCTTGCCAAATACCTTTCAGCGCTTCTGGGCACCATCAGTCAAGCCCACCTCAAACACTCAGGTGACCTTCTCTCCCAAATTTCCAACCTGAATGTTAAAAACAAAAGCATGGCTTCCTTCAATGTCACAGCCCTCTTTACCAACATTCCTACTGATGCTGCAATCAACATTCTGAGACAGAGGCTCACTGAAAACCATGACCTCCCTTTACCTCTTCTAGATTTCATCAGTCTAGTGGATCTTTGTGTTAATTTCAACTTCTTTAAGTATCAGGACAACTGTTACAAACAGTGCTTTGGGATGGCAATGGGCAGCCCGCTCAGTGCTGTGCTTGCCAACCTCTTCATGGAAAACCTAGAAACAGAGAAATTCAGCACCCTCATTCCCAACACCATTACCTGGCTAAGATACGTTGATGATATATTGGTTTTCTATCCGAGACGTCTCAATATCCAGGCCCTTCTCAACAAGATCAATGCAGCCGAACCATCAGTAAAGTTTACACTTGAACTCGAAAACGATGGCAAACTTCCTTTCCTCGACGTTCTCCTGTGCAGATCTCCTGACAGTGACAAACTTCTCTTCAAAGTGTATAGAAAACCTACCAACAAGGACGATCTTATACACTTTTATTCACACCAAGACACCCGCACTAAAAGAGGAGTCTTCACTGGCTTCTTCTGAGAGCTCTACGCATCTCCAGCCCTTGTTTTCTTGAAGAAGAATGTATCTATATAACACAAGCCTTTACACGTCTTCAGTTCCCATCTTTCTTCATCCGAAACTGCAGACTCAAGGCACAAGCTATCCCCAACAAACCGCCCATGGAACAGCCCCCTAAGCAGTTCATAGTGCTCCCATGTGGTGATGTTACCATGAATACTCGCTGGGCACTTGCTATGAGTAACATCATTTCCACCATAAACACATCATCTATCAAAGACCTCACTATGAAACGCAGCCCCACACCTCTAACTTCTACAGCAGGCATCTACACTATTCCCTGTGGATTCTGTCCCAAGAAATATGTAGGCAAGACAGGCAGAGATCTTGCAGTCCGCTCGAATGAGCATCGAAATGCCTCTAACAGAGATGATGTAAGGTACGCCTGTGTCCTCCACAGAGACTCCACAGGGCATTTAATGAACTGGAATGAGGCACAACTCATTCTCACCAAACCAGACCTCAGATGCGGATGGTGCCTAGAAGCCTCACTAATCGCCGTCACTGACACTATAGAACGTAACACTGGAAACTACAAAATTTCAAAAACATTAGCATACATGATACTTAAGCACTACCAACCCAACAACACAGGAGTCACATGATTTCATTGTCTACCCGTCCTCATCCCAACATGACATTCTTCAGGTCACCATGCGTCACTCACACCTCACTCTCTGCCTATATATATAATGCCTTTCTACCTCTGTATGTTAGAAGTGATCAAAGTCCCAGGACTGAAACGTTTTCTAATAAATATGTCATAGTGTTTGCTTACGTGTCTTTCAAAACCACAAAGTACTTTCACGGCACACATAATTACGATAAGGCACCTAAATTATTGGGAGCGGTTGAAGGTCCTTGATCTGTATTCCCTGGAATGCAGGCAAGAGAGATATATGATAATATACACTTGGAAGATCCTGGAGGGACTGACACCAAACCTGCACATGAAAATCACTCCCTATGAAAGCAAAAGACTCAGCATGAGATGCAACATTCCCCTAATGAAAAGCAGGGTCACAACAGGTACAGTGAGAGACAACACAACAAGTGTCCGGGGCCCAAGACTGTTTAGCTACCTCCCAGCATACATAAAGGGGATTATCAATAGATCCCTGGCTGTCTTCAAGAAGGAACTGGACAGGCATCTTAAGTCAGTACCTGACCAACCGGGCTGTGGTTCGTACATCAGTTTGCATGCGGCCAGCAGTAACAACCTGGTTGATCAGACCCTGATCTACCATGAGGCCTGGTCTCAGATCGAGTTGTGGGGGCGTTGACCCCCAAAACCCTCTCCAGGTCAACTCCAGGTAAGGATATAGCAGAATGTGCTGAATCACTCCTGTCCAGCTAGTTGAAGCTGGTATCACACCCTTCAAGAATCACTTACAAAAGAAAAAATGAAAGTTTGCTTGCAATATTCATTTTTCCATTTACTATAAGTGTACCAGAAGTCACTTGCTTAAAGTGGGAAGTAAGACTGTGAGTGGAAGATTTAAGATTACATCATTATATTATTATTATCATTATTATCCACCACGAGGCCTAGTCACAGACCAGGTCACAGGGGTGTTGATCCCCAAAAACCTCTCCCTCTCCAGGTATACATGTACATATATGTGGGGAAAATAAATGGAAATAGGAAAGTAACATTACTATATTTTACTAAGATGTAGGACAGTAATATTGGAATTACTCAGGAATTAGTGAACCCTCAATTTAATAGAATACTCAGGAGAGGGGATGTTCGTTGAAGTAGACTGTCCGTTAAAATCCATATCAAGTGAATACGGTGTATTTTTTCCCATGATCATAACAGTAATAGATTTTGTTAAATCTAGAATTACAGTGTATCTGTAAAATAATGGATGGATAATTTTGGATTTAATTGACTTTGTCCATGACTTCCACACTAGTTAATTAAATCTCAAAGCTGTTAAATCAGGGTCCATTAAATTGAGCTTTTAATGTACTATAATGCAAACATAATAAAATTAAAATCAGATGCTAAATTAATTCTGTATTTACAGCAATACTGTTTGGCGAAGGTGTCAACGCACAGAACCACATAGGTTGTATTGACCCTCACTGTGATGTTGTTCGTGTGATTGAAGATGCATACTCCAGTGCCCGTTTTCTTTGTGATCAGTATTACCTTGCCTCTCCAGAGCTTGTTCTCAAGTATCACAATGGTAGGTACAGTACTATGGAAAACTAGGATATTTGCAGTGCTGTAATATATTAGTGAAGCATAAATTAGATTGCTGTATTGCTTTTGCCTTTCAGAAATTTAGTAAAGTATAAACTCAAGTTGTAATAAACACAAGGATGGACAAGGGGCTTGAACTGCAGTCTGTAAAGTGACAATCAAAATACAGACCATGGTTCAAGCCACTTATCCATCCTTCTGTTTAGTATACTATAATAATGCCTATGTAGGTAGTAGGTTGGTAGACAGCAACCACCCAGGGAAGTACTACCATCCTGCCAGATGACTGTGAAACAAAAACCTGTAACTGTTTTGCATGATGGTAGGATTGCTAGTTTCTTTTTCTGTCTCATAAACACGCTAGATAACAGGGATATCTTGCTACTCCTACTTACACTTTGGTCACACTTCACAGACATGCACATGCATATATATATACATACATCTAGGTTTTTCTCCTTTTTCTAAATAGCTCTTGTTCTTCTTTCTTCTATTGTCCATGGGGAAGTGGAAAAGAATCTTTCCTCCGTAAGCCATGCCTGTCGTATGAGCCGACTAAAATGCCAGGAGCAATGGGCTAGTAACCCCTTCTCCTGTAGACATTTACTAAAAAAGAGAAGAAGAAAAACTTTATAAAACTGGGATGCTTAAATGTGCGTGGATGTAGTGCGGATGACAAGAAACAGATGATTGATGATGTTATGAATGAAAAGAAGTTGGATGTCCTGGCCCTAAGCGAAACAAAGCTGAAGGGGGTAGGAGAGTTTCAGTGGGGGGAAATAAATGGGATTAAATCTGGAGTATCTGAGAGAGTTAGAGCAAAGGAAGGGGTAGCAGTAATGTTAAATGATCAGTTATGGAAGGAGAAAAGAGAATATGAATGTGTAAATTCAAGAATTATGTGGATTAAAGTAAAGGTTGGATGCGAGAAGTGGGTCATAATAAGCGTGTATGCACCTGGAGAAGAGAGGAATGCAGAGGAGAGAGAGAGATTTTGGGAGATGTTAAGTGAATGTATAGGAGCCTTTGAACCAAGTGAGAGAGTAATTGTGGTAGGGGACCTGAATGCTAAAGTAGGAGAAACTTTTAGAGAGGGTGTGGTAGTAAGTTTGGGGTGCCAGGTGTAAATGATAATGGGAGCCCTTTGATTGAACTTTGTATAGAAAGGGTTTAGTTATAGGTAATACATATTTTAAGAAAAAGAGGATAAATAAGTATACAACATATGATGTAGGGCGAAATGACAGTAGTTTGTTGGATTATGTATTGGTAGATAAAAGACTGTTGAGTAGACTTCAGGATGTACATGTTTATAGAGGGGCCACAGATATATCAGATCACTTTCTAGTTGTAGCTACACTGAGAGTAAAAGGTAGATGGGATACAAGGAGAATAGAAGCATCAGGGAAGAGAGAGGTGAAGGTTTATAAACTAAATGAGGAGGCAGTTAGGGTAAGATATAAACAGCTATTGGAGGATAGATGGGCTAATGAGAGCATAGGCAATGGGGTTGAAGAGGTATGGGGTAGGTTTAAAAATGTAGTGTTAGAGTGTTCAGCAGAAGTTTGTGGTTACAGGAAAGTGGGTGCAGGAGGGAAGAGGAGCGATTGGTAGAATGATGATGTAAAGAGAGTATTAAGGGAGAAAAAGTTAGCATATGAAAAGTTTTTACAAAGTAGAAGTGATGCAAGGAAGGAAGAGTATATGGAGAAAAAGAGAGAGGTTAAGAGAGTGGGGAAGCAATGTAAAAAGAGAGCAAATGAGAGAGTGGGTGAGATGTTATCAACAAATTTTGTTGAAAATAAGAAAAAGTTTTGGAGTGAGATTAACAAGTTAAGAAAACCTAGAGAACAAATGGATTTGTCAGTTAAAAATAGGAGAGGAGAGTTATTAAATGGAGAGTTAGAGGTATTGGGAAGATGGAGGGAATATTTTGAGGAATTGTTAAATGTTGATGAAGATAGGGAAGCTGTGATTTCGTGTATAGGGCAAGGAGTAATAACATCTTGTAGGAGTGAGGAAGAGCCAGTTGTGAGTGTGGGGGAAGTTCGTGAGGCAGTAGGTAAAATGAAAGGGGGTAAGGCAGCTGGGATTGATGGGATAAAAATAGAAATGTTAAAAGCAGGTGGGGATATAGTTTTGGAGTGGTTGGTGCAATTATTTAATAAATGTATGGAAGAGGGTAAGGTACCTAGGGATTGGCAGAGAGCATGCATAGTTCCTTTGTATAAAGGCAAAGGGGATAAAAGAGAGTGCAAAAATTATAGGGGGATAAGTCTGTTGAGTATACCTGGTAAAGTGTATGGTAGAGATATAATTGAAAGAATTAAGAGTAAGACGGAAAATAGGATAGATGAACAAGGAGGCTTTAGGAAAGGTAGGGGGTGTGTGGACCAGGTGTTTACAGTGAAACATATAAGTGAACAGTATTTAGATAAGGCTAAAGAGGTCTTTGTGGCATTTATGGATTTGGAAAAGGCGTATGACAGGGTGGATAGGGGGGCAATGTGGCAGATGTTGCAAGTGTATGGTGTAGGAGGTAGGTTACTGAAAGCAGTGAAGAGTTTTTACGAGGATAGTGAGGCTCAAGTTAGAGTATGTAGGAAAGAGGGAAATTTTTTCCCAGTAAAAGTAGGCCTTAGACAAGGATGTGTGATGTCACCGTGGCTGTTTAATATATTTATAGATGGGGTTGTAAGAGAAGTAAATGCGAGGGTCTTGGCAAGAGGCGTGGAGTTAAAAGATAAAGAATCACACACAAAGTGGGAGTTGTCACAGCTGCTCTTTGCTGATGACACTGTGCTCTTGGGAGATTCTGAAGAGAAGTTGCAGAGATTGGTGGATGAATTTGGTAGGGTGTGCAAAAGAAGAAATTAAAGGTGAATACAGGAAAGAGTAAGGTTATGAGGATAACAAAAAGATTAGGTGATGAAAGATTGAATATCAGATTGGAGGGAGAGAGTATGGAGGAGGTGAACGTATTCAGATATTTGGGAGTGGACGTGTCAGCAGATGGGTCTATGAAAGATGAGGTGAATAATAGAATTGATGAGGGAAAAAGAGTGAGTGGTGCACTTAAGAGTCTGTGGAGACAAAGAACTTTGTCCTTGGAGGCAAAGAGGGGAATGTATGAGAGTATAGTTTTACCAACGCTCTTATATGGGTGTGTGAAGCATGGGTGATGAATGTTGCAGTGAGGAGAAGGCTGGAGGCAGTGGAGATGTCATGTCTGAGGGCAATGTGTGGTGTGAATATAATGCAGAGAATTCGTAGTTTGGAAGTTAGGAGGAGGTGCGGGATTACCAAAACTGTTGTCCACAGGGCTGAGGAAGGGTTGTTGAGGTGGTTCGGACATGTAGAGAGAATGGAGCGAAACAGAATGACTTCAAGAGTGTATCAGTCTGTAGTGGAAGGAAGGTGGGGTAGGGGTCGGCCTAGGAAAGGTTGGAGGGAGGGGGTAAAGGAGGTTTTGTGTGCGAGGAGCTTGGACTTCCAGCAGGCATGCGTGAGCGTGTTTGATAGGAGTGAATGGAGACAAATGGTTTTTAATACTTGACGTGCTGTTGGAGTATGAGCAAAGTAACATTTATGAAGGGATTCAGGGAAACCGGCAGGCCGGACTTGAGTCCTGGAGATGGGAAGTACAGTGCCTGCACTCTGAAGGAGGGGTGTTAATGTTGCAGTTTAAAAACTGTAGTGTAAAGCACCCTTCTGGCAAGACAGTGATGGAGTGAATGATGGTGAAAGTTTTTCTTTTTCGGGCCACCCTGCCTTGGTGGTAATCGGCCAGTGTGATAATAAAATAAAAATAATGCCTATCTTTTCCAATCCTCTGTCACTTGATTTTGGGTAAAGTATTTTTCCCAACTGAATATTTTTCAATTAGAGTCACACCTCATTAATCTATGCAAAAAATTCTTGACATATCCAATTCCAAACTGAAAAATGTAGAAATTATGGTGTTGATAATTAACACAGAGAGCAGTATTCAAACCCCTGGTCTGGCAGTCCTGGAGTTACCAGCCTGATGCTCCTGATAGGCATTTTGCATGATCTTGTGTGTGTAGCTATGTAAGTTAATTTTCTTGGTCCTGAACTATACTTCTGGGAATTTTTATCCATTCCAGTTATGTACTAATGTGAAGTTGTGTAACAATGAAATAGTACTGTACTGTAATAATAATAAAAATAATAATAAAAATAATAATAAAAATAATAATAATAATAATAATAATAATAATGTAAAAATAATAATAATAATAATATAAAAATAATGCAAAATAATCACTTACAGGAAACAGTGGTGTAAATGCATCAGCAATATTTACATTTTACAATATTTACATTTTAGCCACCAGGCTCGGTGGCTTGGTGGCTAAAGCTCCTGCTTCACACACGGAGGGCCCGGGTTCGATTCCCGGCGGGTGGAAACATTGACACGTTTCCTTACACCTGTTGTCCTGTTCACCTAGCAGCAAATAGGTACCTGGATGTTAGTCGACTGGTATGGGTCGCATCCTGGGGGACAAGATTGAGGACCACAATGGAAATAAGTTAGACAGTCCTCGATGACGCATTGACTTTCTTGGGTTATCCTGGGTGGCTAACCCTCTGGGGTTAAAAATCCAAACAAAATCTTATCTTGCCTTATCTAACGGCTTTTAATGTTTTACACTGTATACACTAGTTTTTTATGATATTAAATGTGTTTAAAAGATGTTCTAGCATTTCAGACAAGGGAAAATGCTTAACATGGCATTGCTTCACTTGCAATATAGAGTACATACATGGTGTAATTGCTTTTATTCCATTTTTTATCAATTTGGTCTTCAAATGCTATGTAGAAGGAATACTTATACTAATATTACATTTGTTTCATATTGTAATAATCCTCAAAACATGGAAATAAGTCATATTGTTTGACTTTTCTGGGTTATCCTGGGTTAAATATTCTTAGCATTCTTTATGGCTGAATTTCACTGTCATTGTTATGAAATTGTAATAAATTTGGAATAAATATGTCATCTTTGTGCCACATGCACACCGTGTTTACTAGTAGGGAAGTTGGTAGTGGAACAACAGCTCCTGGTTCCTTTGTTTGCTGTTACTATTTATGCATACTAGTATGTCAGGCACATAGTCATCACTTGTGTTCTTAACCATGATACACTCTGTGAACCCTCCTGGCCTTGGATTCTTTCAAACAGAAAATATTGCAACCCATTGTTTAGAGTGCAGGTACCGTACTTCCCACTTCCAGGACTCAAGTCAGGTTAACAAATTTCCCTGAATCCTTTCACGAAATGTTACCTTGCTCACATTCTAACAGCTCTTCAAGTCCCAAAAACCATTTACCTCCACTGACTCCTATCTAACACGCTCACACATGCCTGCTGGATGCACAAGCCCTTTGTACACAAACCCTCCTTTAACCTTTCCATCCATCCTTTCCTAGGATAGCCCCTAACCCCCTTCCACTACAAATTTATACACCCTCCAAGTCATCCTATTTTTTTATTAGTAATTTATGACTGATAATACAAGTAGGTCAAACTTATGAACAAGTTATATTTGTTTTTTTTTTATTGGCAAATGAGATGTTTGTACATTAAATTAATATTATTTTATTATTATTATTATTATTATTATTACAGGGAAGCATTAAATGTGTAGAGGTTATACAGTCTCTGGGGAATGGGCAGTAACTATGTTTGATCCAGGAAAGAGGAGGGTAGCTCCACTTCTTTGAATCAAAATCCTTTCATTAGCATCAAGGCACCTGCCCTTGAAGATAGTTGTCTGCTTAGAAAACAACAATATATATATACAGTAGTTGAAGTATGGCATAGCTAACATGTAGTACAAAAAGACTCAAGAAGCAAATTGAGACATTTTACTAACATGAGGCAATATAAAGCTCAATAAACCCTTGATTTAACAAACTTTGGAAATGTACAGAACAACATCCACTGGGTTAATTGATTCAGAATTAATGGACAAAGTGTCTCAACCGTTTTTGTTACAATCACAGCAAAATTTCATCTCTCTTTAGGTGTCCTGTAACTTGATCGCTAGCGCACTCAGCTCACACACTGAGGTCCGAAGTTCAAATCTCCTCCAGTATGGCTGGAAAACATTAGGAACATGTTTCCATAAAACACGTCATCCATGTTCACCCATCAGTATAAAATGGGTACCTGGGAGTTAGTCGATTGGTGTGGGTCACACCCTGGGACAAAACTGACCTAATTTGCCCGAAATGCTCTGCATAACAAGAGGCTTTTTATATAGTAGTATGTCACTGATGTCAGCAAGGCCTGTATGCCATGTACATGTACTTGCAGTAAATAAAGATACCATTATTATTATTATATTATAAAGTACAGTACCACAATTGCCATTACTGCTCATCCACTTCCCCCCCTATTAATCAGTTAAATCGAGGGTTTGCCATCCTTCATATAAAGTGCCTGATAAAGCCTCTACATGAAACATTATACAGGTCTCCCTCAACATTCTCGTTTTCAACTTTCACGGGCTTCACACATTCGCAAATTCCCAACCGCTAAATTCCCAGCCACTGAATTCCCAGCCGCCAAATCATATTTAAGTTTCCCGCCACCTGCGAGTCCCTACTACTCTCCCTCCGATCCCCACAACTGGCAGCCAGCCCTCCCACCACTCAGTGTGGTGAGTGTTTTGTTTGTTCATTATTTGCTATTAAACTACAGTATAAATAATGTAAACCCATTCATGACTGCATATTGAAATGGCTATTCGGACAGGTATTAGACGGTGACATCACGTGTTTACTCTTGAACACTGCAAAGAATTAAACATTTCTGCTACAGCTATAACAACAGTAATAATAATAATAATAATAATAATAATAATAATAATAATAATAATAATAATAATAATAATAATAATAAATATGATATAATTGAAGAAGGAAATTGTACAAAAATACGAGGGAGTGGTTGACGCATCGTCAGTGTGACTTTGTTTATGCTGGAGTGAACATTAGTCTCCCTGCTCTTCCAAACATTTCACAATAATTCATTGTGTTTGGTGCTTGTAGATTGAGTGTGACTGGAGTGGTAGAGGCAGTGATTGAGGCAATGGTATTTAATAACATACATGTTAATAATAATACATGTTATTAATAACAACATATACTACAATTCTTGTACTACTACTACTACTACCTCCACCTCTTCCTGCCTATATATAGCCGTCCTGGTCCACCTCTGTTAGTGTGACTTTGTCAATGGTCCAAGTCGGACCGAAACGTCGTCGTAAGCTTCTCTCTTTTATGTGCGGGTTATTTGTGTATAATAACATATACTATTATTATTTATAACATATATGTTATTAAATACCACTGCCTCAACCGCTGAATTATTGTGAAATGTTTGGAAGAGCAGGGAGACTAATGTTCACTCCAGCATAAACAAAGTCACACTGACGATGTGTCAACCACTCCCTCGTATTTTTGTACAATTTCCTTCTTCAATTATATCGTATTTATTATTATTATTATTATTACTATTGTTATTATTAGCAATAGCAGAAATGTTCGATTCTTTGCTGTGTTCAAGAGTAAACACACGATGTCACCATCTAATACTTTTCGTAATAGCCATTCCAATATGCAGTCATGAATGGGTTTACATTATTTATTCTGTACTTTAATAGCAAATAATGAACAAACAAAACACTCACCACACTGAGTGGTGGGAGGGCTGGCTGCCAGTTGCGGGGGTCGGAGGGAGGGTAGTAGGGACTCGCAGTGGTGAAGTCTGGTATTTAATAACATACATGTTATTAACATACATGTTATTAAATAACATACATTATTAAAGCATAACATGTATATATTTAGTACAATTTATGACGTTTTCATGTATTTCATGATTATTCATGGTTCAACAAGTTAAGGAAGCAGTATTGTATTATATTTCCCTACAATATATTGGGGCACCAAACATTCACGGTTTTTCAACATTCGCGAGGCTCTTGATCCCCTAACCCTCGCGAATGTTGAGGGAGACCTGTAGTTATAAAAGGTCTCCTTTTGCTATGCAGTGGTATCCCAAGTTTTGAACTTTCTTCGTTCCAGAAGGCTGTTTGAGTGCAGTTACCGAATGAATTTGTTCCCATAAGGAATAATGTAAATTAGATTAATCTGTTTCAGACCCCCAAAAATACACTTACAAAAGCACTTACAATAATACACTTACATAATTGGTCGAGTTGGGAGCAGTTCAAAACTCGGGGCACCACTGTACATCTTTTTAACCAACAGTGTAAAGGATGGTTATATTTCACATCTTTTCTAAAATTAAGTCTCCGGTCATATTACTTAAGTGTGATGTTTAGCAACACTAATGGTAGAATGCTTTGCTCACTTGCCCCTACAGAGCAGGACAAGGCCACTAAAATCATAAAAGAAGCTGGAGCACCAGGTATGTTACTTTCATTGCCTACGTCTTTGTTAATGCAAGTATTTGTATGTTTTGTTCATCTCTTTGAATAGACAAAAAGAACAATGAGCTTAAAACATCAGAATAAAGTAGAAAATAAAGGGAAATAATTTTGGAATATGTGAGAAGGCATGACAGTCAAAAAAACAGGTGCATGTTAATGGAAGCGTAATTCACTATAATCATTATCAGAAGGATAACAACGAACTTGTTTCCTGAGTATAATTCCCATGACTGTTACCAATTAATTGACTTCTATTAATATTTTTTTAGTAAATACTGTGCTACAGAAGGTTCTTGCATACCATTTTCTTATTTTAACATTCTTCATATAGTATAGGAGAGTAGTGCCAAATGGGTATACACTGTAAGGAATAAGATGCCTGCATGTTAAAGAATAAAAGTCACAGTACCATGGCTGTTATAATCCACAAATAACTCACACTTAGGAGAGGAAGCTGATAATATTTCATGCCAAACTGTACCACTGTCAAATCAGAAGCTGTGACTTGATAAACCATACCCCGGCCGGGATTGAACCCACGGTCAGAGAGTCTCAAAACTCCAGCCCGTTGCGTTTGCAATCGTGTCATTACGATTTCGTGAGTCCTGTGACTTGATAAATGTTCAAGACAGACAAAGACATCGTAAATTTCCTCTCCTAAGTGTGGGTTATTTGTGATGACGACATCTACATCTTGCTCAGGTCCCTTAGCCAGGGACAAGTCAACAACTGTATGGTCAGCCATCCATTTACAATTCTTTACTTAACTTACCAAGTACCATAATGTGTGCATTCCACAGCCATGCTAAATATGTCCTTTTGCTAGTTTGGTTTTGGATTAGAACACAAAAACTTATCTACGTGGTCTAATGAAGCACTTTTTATACTAAACAAGTTACCATTTTTCTCACCAGTCAACATTCTTTTAAACTTGCTGCATCTATTTAGTTGACTGCATGTTGGCCATAGGTGTATCTTGCTGTTTATCTACAATTTTGATTGCTTGTTCCTTCAATGTTTTTATTGTTGAGGGACTGTACAGTGTTATGTAAGAGGACCCAAAATATTTTTCAGATAATTTTGCAGTATTTACTAAATTCTTTGAGTTCATTTTAACTAAAACAGATTTAAAGTAAATAACCAGACTGAAGAAATAATTTCAAAGCTTGAATATCGACATAATTCAGGAGTTTTATGTTTAATTTTATACTTTTTTTTTTTCAACAAACCGGCCATATCCCACTGAGGCAGGGTGACCTAAAAGAAAAACAAAAGTTTTTCTTTTTAAATTTAGTAATTTATACAGAAGGGATTAATAGCCCTTTGCTCCCAGAATTTATGACAGGTATGGCTTACGGAGGAAGAATCTTTTTCCACTTCCACGTGGAGATACAGTGGACCCCCGCATACCGTTGGCATCACATAACGTTAAATCCGCATACCGATACATTTTATCGCTAAGATTTTGCCTCTCATACCGCTAAAAAACCCGCTCAACACTATTCGTCCGAGACGCGTCTAATGTGCAGCCTGAGCCAGCCTCACATGTTCCGCCGGTGGCATTGTTTACAAGCCAGCCTCCGCGGTAACATCCAAGCATACAGTTGTAACATTTCGTATTATTACAGTGTTTTTGGTGATTTTATCTGCAAAATAAGTGACCATGGGCCCCAAGAAAGCTTCTAATGCCAACCCTGTGGTAAAAAGGGTGAGAAATATTATCGAAATACTGTGGTACCATGGTCAACTGCTGATGCTGCTGCTGCTGTAGCACTGTCAGCTGCTGCTGCTGCTGTAGCACCGTCAGCTGCTGCTGCTGCTGTACCACCGTCAGCTGCTGCTGCTGCTGCTGCTGCACTGTCAGCTGCTGCTGCTGTAGCACTGTCAGCTGCTGCTGTAGCACCGTCAGCTGCTGCTGTACCACCATCAGCTGCTGCTGCTGCTGCTGTACCACCATCAGCTGCTGCTGCTGCTGTAGTACCGTCTGCTGCTGCTGCTGTAGTACCGTCTGCTGCTGCTGTAGCATCGTCTGCTGCTGCTGTAGCATCGTCTGCTGCTGCTGCTGCACTGTCAGCTGCTGCTGCTGCACTGTCAGCTGCTGCTGCTGCTGCTGCTGCACTGTCAGCTGCTGCTGCTGCTGTAGCACTGTCAGCTGCTACTGTTGCTGCTGTATCACTGTTGTTGGTGTGGCTTATTGAGAATACCAAGAAACAATTAACCCCAGAGGGTTAGCCACCCAGGATAACCCAAAAAAGTCAGTGTCATCGAAGACTGTAACTTATTTCCATTGGGGTCCTTAATCTTGTCTCCCAGGATGCAACCCACACCAGTCGACTAACACCCAGGTGAACAGGGAAAAACGCCTGGAACTAGTGCTCATATTGGTGAATTTAAAGCCAGCAAAGGTTGGTTTGAGAGATTTAAGAATCATAGTGGCATACACAGTGTGATAAGGCCTGTTCTGGAAGAAAATGCCAAACAGGACCTACAGTACTCAGGAGGAAAAGGCACTCCCAGGACACAGTGTCTCATCAGTCATTGCTGCATCTTCAATAAAGGTAAGTGTCATTTATTCTTCATTTAGTAGAGTAGTACATGCACAATATATACTGTGCATGTACTACTCTACTATTGTGCATGTATCCTTCTCTTTGTGTGTAGGAAAATGTATATTTTACCTGGAGTTTACCTGGAGAGAGTTCCGGGGGTCAACGCCCCCGCGGCCCGGTCTGAGACCAGGCCTCCTGGTGGATCAGAGCCTGATCAACCAGGCTGTTGCTGCTGGCTGCACACAAACCAACATACGAGCCACAGCCCGGCTGATCCGGAACTGACTTTAGGTGCTTGTCCAGTGCCAGCTTGAAGACTGCCAGGGGTCTGTTGGTAATCCCCCTTATGTGTGCTGGGAGGCAGTTGAACAGTCTCGGGCCCCTGACACTTATTGTATGGTCTCTTAACGTGCTAGTGACACCCCTGCTTTTCATTGGGGGGATGGTGCATCGTCTGCCAAGTCTTTTGCTTTCGTAGTGGGTGATTTTCGTGTGCAAGTTCGGTACTAGTCCCTCTAGGATTTTCCAGGTGTATATAATCATGTATCTCTCCCTCCTGCGTTCCAGGAATACAGGTTTAGGAACCTCAAGCGCTCCCAATAATTGAGGTGTTTTATCTCCATTATGCGCGCCGTGAAAGTTCTCTGTACATTTTCTAGGTCGGCAATTTCACCTGCCTTGAAAGGTGCTGTTAGTGTGCAGCAATATTCCAGCCTAGATAGAACAAGTGACCTGAAGAGTGTCATCATGGGCTTGGCCTCCCTAGTTTTGAAGGTTCTCATTATCCATCCTGTCATTTTTCTAGCAGATGCGATTGATACAATGTTATGGTCCTTGAAGGTGAGATCCTCCGACATGATCACTCCCAGGTCTTTGACGTTGGTGTTTCGCTCTATTTTGTGGCCAGAATTTGTTTTTGTACTCTGATGAAGATTTAATTTCCTCATGTTTACCATATCTGAGTAATTGAAATTTCTCATCGTTGAACTTCATATTGTTTTCTGCAGCCCACTGAAAGATTTGGTTGATGTCTGCCTGGAGCTTTGCAGTGTCTGCAATGGAAGACACTGTCATGCAGATTCGGGTGTCATCTGCAAAGGAAGACACGGTGCTGTGGCTGACATCCTTGTCTATGTCGGATATAAGGATGAGGAACAAGATGGGAGCGAGTACTGTGCCTTGTGGAACAGAGCTTTTCACCGTAGCTGCCTCGGACTTTACTCTGTTGACGACTACTCTCTGTGTTCTGTTAGTGAGGAAATTATAGATCCATCGACCGACTTTTCCTGTTATTCCTTTAGCACGCATTTTGTGCGCTATTACGCCATGGTCACACTTGTCGAAGGCTTTTGCAAAGTCTGTATATATTACATCTGCATTCTTTTTGTCTTCTAGTGCATTTAGGACCTTGTCGTAGTGGTCCAATCCAATTTTACGTGGTAAAAATTTTTTTTCATACTTTTGGGTGTCTTGCACGGATTAATTTGATTTCCATTATTTCTTATGGGGAAAATTCATTCGCGTAACGATAATTTCGCATAACAGTGAGCTCTCATGAACGGATTAATATTGTTATGCGGGGGTCCACTGTACAGTGGACCCTCAGTTATCAGCCATTCTGGATATCAGCCAATTTGGTTTTTGCCCGCTTTTTTGGCCGAAATTCTATCCTGGTTATCTGACATTATTTTGGAGATTGGCCATATTGGACGCGTCCACCTGCTGCTCTGCCACATTCATGAGTCAGTCTGGCTGTATCTCTGAGTGAGTGAGGAAGCCTCCGCGCAGTCATCCAAACATTTCGCTACAATCCATTGTTTTTTGTGGTTACTGATCGAGTGCAACTGTGAAATAAGCATCCATGGACTCGAAGTTCCTAGTAAAGTTCCTTTGGTGAAGAAAGTGAGAAACATGATAGAATTTAACCCTTAAACTGTCCAAATGTAGATCTACGTTTGCACGCATAGCGCTCTGACCTTGATTTTCTCCATGAGAAAGAATGTAAAAAAAATTAGATCTACGGTCACTTGCGTGGCGCTCCGAATATTTTGAAAAACAAAAAATTGTTTTTTCTTTTAAAATGAAGAGCACATTTTTCTACACATTATAGGATAAAAAAAAAATTAGGGTCAGTACTTACCGAGATATAAGACAATGAAATTGGCTCTGGATGCTCACCTGACAGCAACATCGATTCCTGCCACTTGCAGAAGTGTTGTCGATATACCTTTTTTCTCGTTTTTATTTTAATTTATATAGTATTTTTTATGTTCTGATAATTACAATTTATAATAGTTCTTGTGATTTCATAGCCAATCTTTGTTCTGACACTAATATTCAGTACTAAAATAGTACTCAAATAGTCACATTCACAGGTGAACATTTACACCTGCTTGGGTTATTTACTATTGTCTAGAAATATACACAAA